CAGTGTGTTTTCTCTGTACATAAACTACATTTGTTTGAAATAAAATATAATGAATACCGATTCCTACTTCTTCATTCAAATAGGAACTTGGCTGTCCACTCAAGTTTAGCAGTACTATTGACATGTGAAGTCGATCAATTTAAAGAGTAAACAGTACACTTAAAATAGACCAAGTTTGAACCAGGATTATTATTGGTAGCTTGTCACGTGGTATTGGTTGGTGATTACGAGTCATAATACTTACTTCATATGCAGACGGTAGACTAAAGTAGCATCTTTAGTTTTGGTGGAGACGTTGTACTGTTAACTGTAGTCCAGTGTGACCACATTAATTTGTTTCCTCGAGAAACAACATATGCAGCGATGCTGTATTTTTACAATGGGTTAAAAAAAGACCGACTGCAAAAAAGTAACTCACTTTTTTTCGTCCCACAGATTTCCGTCACTGGCGGTAATGCCTTAACAGTACGGAGTTAACAAATCTACGACCACTCACAAGCAACTATCCTTTGGGCTTAGCGATCAGTCTCCATAGTCGTCAGTCAGTCAGCTGCAGCGTTGGACTTCGTACGTAAGTACATCAGTTCAGGTTGCCATACCAAATTAGCACACAGACGCAATTGTCGATTCGAATCCCATAGTCATAGAGATAGTAGAAGTACAACTGGTAAAGGAGAAGATTAGGGTTCCAAGATATTATTGAAGAAGTACATTTAAGTGAGATAAGTTTAGACAGACAAAGGGAGATGTATTGACGAATCCAGAAGATTAAGATAAGAGAGAACACAAAGAATGAATGCACCTGCGCCATTGCAAGCGATTTTGAACCATGTCATTCAGGGTCTCTAACCATCGATTACTATCATCTCGCAGGCCGCAACCAGGTGGTCGACGCCTACTGACATGACTCAGTCCATTTGTCAGTGACTTCATGGATTTGTGCGATGTCTTGGTCTGGCCGCCCGTAGTTTTTTTCCAACCTATTCCTACATCGCAAATCATACCTCGACTAGGCAGTCGGTAATTAGACATACGCAACAAATGTCCCAACCACCTCAACTGATGTAGTTTCATTACTTCATCTATTGATCTGCCATTCTTACCTAGCACCCGATTCCTCATAACAGCGTTGCTCACTCGGGTGTCCCAGGGTTCACGAGCAATACTTCGTAAACACCTTTGATCGAGAACAAGCAACCTACGAATATCTTCTGTTCTGACTGGCCATGTTTCGTATCCATAAAGTAGGACAGAGCGAACTGCTAAGGAGTAGACTCGTTGTTCGGTTAGCAAACAGATATCCCGACAACGCCGTAGGTGACGCAAGTTGACGCGGTCTACGCGTTCGACTCCTTCACTCCCTGTCTCTTGTTCAGGTGCCGATGTAACCCAATCTCGAAGCAACACTTTGCATTTCGAGGGTGAGAACCGCATTCCGGACATGCATGCATTGCTGCTCAGAGTAGTCAGAAGACTCTGCATTTTGTCAGCATCTTCACCGAATAGGACTATGTCATCGGAATATTGTAGGTCAGTAAGCGATCCTCCCGGTAAAAGGTCTACTCCTGAAAAATCTGACGAGGATGATGTTAACTCTAAAAGTATATCTTCGACAAAGTTCAACAAGAATGGAGAGAGTGGACAGCCGTGACGGACACCACTTGCAGTAATTAATTCCGATGACAGTTCGCCATAAGCTCTCACCCGACCAATGGTGTTCGGGTAGAGAGCCTGTATAAGGTTAATGTACTTCTTTGGTACACGTTTCAATGAAAGACACTGCCACTGAACCTCACGATCAACTGAGTCAAATGCCGACTTTAGGTCCAGAAAGACACCCATGGTCGTCAAAACCACCCCAAATATCAGTGCTCTTCTACAAAATGCACATGTGAGGAGTTACTTTGATCAGTAGGGGTCGTAGATGTTTGGTAATATGGCTCTGAATCGATCATAATAATTCATGTGCATTTACATTTTATATTCTGCGAGGACTTCAGTTTCAGTATTCTTGCACATTCTGTTTTTACAAATCATTTATTTTAGCGTTCAGCGTTTCTTATTTACATTACTGCTACATTATTTCGAGTTCTACCGCTATCAATCGTTCTCAGTCCATTTGTTTGCACTAATACGTTCTAGTAACTTAAATCAACGCATATATGTATTAAACCCTATTTTGTTCAGAACTGACTGGACCGATTCTTGCTAATAATTACTATAAGTTATTTCCAACAGTTTCCTTTGTCATCACATAAAGTGATTACAAATTGATATGCTTGATTTTATACTTTTCCTATATATCAATAAGTCTATTTTGATTTGTAAATTAAATAAATGGTAGAGAAGTTTTGCATCAAAACTGGACGCTTTGTTTGTATCATTCAGTACTTTGAGCTAATAAAGATTGATGATGAAATTATTGTTGTTTGTTCAGTATTTAAAGCATTTTGCTAAAACAATCGTTTTCATTTCTCTACAAATATTAGTGCAATTACTAATTCACATTTCTCTAACCTCAATGAAACCTAACCCAACACCGAGACAACAATTGTTAAATAAACTAAACAAAATTTTGATAGAAAGAATAATATACCTGATATAATTCATAGGATTTGATTTTCCACTGGTATTCTTTTTTTTTTTCTTTCTCAAAATTGAATTGGTAACTGATGTTAAATTTTCAATGTTTAGTTTTTTTGTTATCAAATTGTGCTACTGTGTGTTTATTGTCAAAGATGATTTCAGTTTGTGAAATCGTTATCACTTTCAGGAGAATATGATTGTTTTATTTTACTTTCCTTCGACATATGTCAACTTGTCATTTAATACAAATAAAGATATTGGTAGAGATCTTAATGACTAATCAAAATAAATAATGATATTGACTCAGTAGGGTGCTTCCATTGGATTTATTGTTTGTTTTTGTTTTTCTAGTAGATATAGATATTTTTATATTTATTCTGCATTATATCAAATATTGCACTCATCCTGTGATTCATCGACGTGTGTGCTTTTTTTAATGATTACACTGTTTGTTTTGACTTGTATGAACATTTTATATCTTGAATCGATCATTCTTAGACCACCATTAGAAACATGGAATCACTGACAAGCCATCAAGTCCTAGTGTGTGACTTATCAGCCGTGCGCATCCACGATTCTCGCTCCCGGTAATCCAACCGAAGACTTTGGATCTTTCGCACGACTGATCAACTTCCAGACCACTGAGCCGGCATTGAACGGTGTTAATGTCCAACTTTGATCAGTCTAAGGATTCTACACAACCTCACCTTTTGTCTTTAGTAGTTACTGCCTACACCCAACAGGGTTGCACTTCACTGGTCACAGCTTCTCACTAGAACTCCAAGAATTTCCTTACAAAGCTAGTGGGAAAATCGCTTCATGATTTCAACGAGCTGCATGTCTGTATTCCGAATTGTATAGCTACTTTTCGTGCTGCAAACATACGCAACATCCATAAAATAATTATATTTAAGATCATATTGTGTTTCAGTCCCACTAAATATATTCCTTACATAATATTTTATGATAATCCAGAGCAAATTAAACAAGAAATGTCCGAAATTATAATGATTGATCCATTTTTTTTAGTTAAGTATCATTCACTGTTTGGATCATATATTCGAACCCTGATCTTCTCCTTTACTTGTAATGCTTCTTCTACCATGCAATTTGAATCGACAATCCCATCTCTCTGTGCTTGTGAGGTATGGCAACTTGAACTGATGTACGTATACGTACGAAGTTCCACGTTGCAGCTCACTCAATGACTGATCATTCAGAGTGAACTACCAACACTTAACCAACTATTTGTTAAATTAGGTGTTTACATCCTAATATCATTAGAGTTCTAGTCATGTATGAATGAACATCGGACCTGGTATTATAGGCTCTAAAATAACAAGATCTGAAGTTATTTAACTTGCAAATGATCAGACTATGAATTACAGTCAACATAGAAATCATATATATGTCCATTGGTTCAAATTCTGCTACATCACATTAACATAATGAAAATGAAATTATCAAGGCAATAAATGTCGATTGTAGAATTAGTAACAGTATCAATGATAATGGAAAGAATTTGTCACAGACAATATGATTCTGGAAGGAAGAAATAATTCATGATTTCAAATGAAAACCAAAAATCTGTCAATCTATATAATAGAATAAAATTTGCTCACTAGTGACTAGCTTTGTAAGGAAATTCTTGGAGTTCTAGTGAGAAGCTGTGACCAGTGAAGTGCAACCCTGTTGGGTGTAGGCAGTAACTACTAAAGACAAAAGGTGAGGTTGTGTAGAATCCTTAGACTGATCAAAGTTGGACATTAACACCGTTCAATGCCGACTCAGTGGTCTGGAAGTTGATCAGTCGTGCGAAAGATCCAAAGTCTTCGGTTGGATTACCGGGAGCGAGAATCGTGGATGCGCACGGCTGATAAGTCACACACTAGGACTTGATGGCTTGTCAGTGATTCCATGTTTCTAATGGTGGTCTCACACTGGTTGACTCATGATTTCAAATGAAAAATTATTTATGAGATGAAAAAAATTATTTTCAAACAAATATTTAATGTATATGCGTCAATGTGACATATTCTGACCAACATGTACAACTACTGAGGTTAAGATAATCACATAGATCTCAACTAGGTAGGTGGCATCTATTTTCATTGTTTTAATCCAACAATGAAGTAGTTCCAGTGTTTGTTGGTTTTCAAGAGATTATTCAACTAATGTTAATTAATCCTTCTTGTAAAGCACAAAATTTAATTAATCTTTCCAAAACCCTATCCATAGTAATTAAATATTGATTCTCATGTCTAATTTGATAAGAACAACTATTAAGTTTTCTAAGTACATACAATATAACAAAGTTGTCTGAATGAATATAAACCTTTTAATTAACTTGATTTTATTTATTTGTTTAATGCGCTGATAATTAAATTATATTGTGTTGTTTAATTTTTTTTCAGATACTCCTGATCACCAACAACAAAAACAACAACTTATAAGTAACTCTTCACACTTGAATAATTCAAAATCTAGTTCAGCTTCATTGTTTCTATCCAGACCTCATCCAGCATCTAAACAAAACAATACAAATATCACTGAAACTTCTTTTTCCTTGTCATCTTGCACATTACCAGTATGTTCACCTACTATGAACACAGTTGCTAAACCAATTTCTTTACCAGTTAAAACGGATTCAGTGTTTCGAGCTGAAAAGATTGTTCCACGTAGATCCATAGAGGCGAACAGTAATTGCAACAACGCTAATGAATTAGCACAAAGTTCTACTAGTAGTGGCTCTGTAGTAAATTCTAATGATAAAACACGAATGACAAAGGATGATTCACGTCGATATTTATCTGAATTGGATAGTGTTATCAAAGAACTCTGTGAAGCAAACGAAGCAGCTGTACAGGCTACACGTGAAGCTGCACAACGAAGACAACGTCTAGGCTGGTCAGCATCAGGTAATTCTCAATTAAAATTAGCAACAACAAATGAACCAAGTACCATGCCTATTCCAAGTAGTACGAATGCCTAGTATTAGGTCTCTGTGTATGATTGATTCTGTGTGTGTGTGTGTGTACACTTCTTCATCAAAATAACACTTTTTTTTTATTCAACTAATAGAGTGCAAATATTATTGTACCAACTAAAAATATTCGTCAATACATTTCTTCTTCCTCAATTTCTATTAGCTTGATGCGTACATAAATCATTGTCATGATATTTTGAAACTACATTTTTTTTAATTATACCAGATTTACACACCTGCATATATACACATATATATAATACACATTTTAGGTGTTGGATATTTTATCACTTACTACATGATTGTTTCATTTATCATCAGTAATGTAATGCATATATCTATCTATCTATCTATCTATATACATTGGTCTTCTATCACTTCCAATTCTACATGCTCATTATTTTTGAAATGCAGAATGTTAGTTCCCTATGTATGTTCTATTTCCACTTACGTAATTAGAAATCAGTTGACTTGAAAGCAAACAGAAAGCATCGATATTATTGACTACACACACGATCGACTACACCGACAAGATTATTTATCAGTAAATAATACTGATTGATTAGTTTCAATTTTTTTTGTAGTTTATATAAGCACTGCATTGAATAGGATGATACGAGAATTGTAAAGAAATCATTTTCGATAGTTCATCACACACACTTACACACACACACACAGTCAAAATAGATTCTGGTTCGTGTTTGTACGAGAGTTAGGAGTAAATTCAACATCAACAACAACAACAACAACATCAACAACATTTAATAATCTGTCAAATATGCATGAAAAAAGAAAAATTCCAATTCTTGTATTATTTTTGTGAGTTGTTTTCACACACACACACACACACTTTTTCATTTCTTCTATGTGTGTGTGTGTGATTGTGTTCGATTGTGTTATTATTTCACAGTTAATTTTATTTGACAATTTTCTAGTTTCTTTTTTTTTGTAAACGCTTGCTTCTTCACTGCATGTTTGCATGTATGATTGTTTGTTGGTTTTATCATAATTCTTTCTTACTTTTTATATTTTAATCTCTCGCTTAAATAAAACAAGAAGTCATTATTGTTTATTATTATTATTATTATTATTAATATAACTTAATCATGATACAAGCGAAATACTGACTAACTGATTATGTCTCAGTATGTTTACAAGTTTTCTAACTAATTAACATCATATTTTACAGTTGCCATGTATACTGCAATGTTTATTTGTTTATTCTACAGTTTGAAAGGGAATAGGTATGTGTCATTCATTCTAAGGCGCATTTACATATTGATATATATATATATGCGATATATATATATATATATGATCGTGTTATATGTTAACAAAACAGTAGTAAGTTACGAACGATACGGTTCAATTTCTTATCGATTATTTTCGAGCAGAGATTGACAGTGAACAGTGGTTATTGATAAAAATGTTACACTCTAGACAATATTGATAAAGAAAGTTACATTATATTTAAATAGCATCAAACCAGTTTTGTTATGTGATTGAAGACTGCAAAGAGATGTTAGACTTGTCAAAACTTTCGACACTAAACAAATACACTACTAACTGTGATATGTGGTTGTAAACGATTTGCAGAAAGCCTTGTTTACCTGGGTTTTATACTATTTGGCGCTCGTCAGCGGGGCATACATGCAATCGCGAGAAGATTGATGATTTTTGTGAGCCTCGATTGCACTTCCTTCAGCCTCATTAACGGAAACATAACCAATGAGCTATTAGGGCTATTATCGAACTGCTATGCGAGTGAGATACAGTGTGGGTGATTTTGACAGCTTCTCAGCCATGTCACACATCATTGATTAGGCTGATCACTAGAATCCAAACTAAGTAGTCTACATCTTACGACACTATACAACTCAACAGTGTTTTACGACATGGAGTGATTCATAACTCCAATGAAACTCAACAATCACCACAACCTTATATTGACAATTGTCATGTGCTCACTAGTGACTTAAATCGTGAGGAAATTCTCGGAATTCTAGTAAGAAGCCGTGATCACTGAAGTTTAAGCATGTCGAAGGCGAGGCAGTTACCCACCAAAGACAATGGATGAGGCCACACAATATCATGGATTGATTGAAATTATACACTAACTCTACTAAATGCTAGCTCGGTGGTTGTAGGTGCGCATGGCTGATGAGTCTTATTCTCGGACGAAATATTTCATTCAGTGCTTCTAGATTTTTATCATTGATTGATTTATGGTTTCAATGAGAAAGTATCTCTCTTATTTCAAAGGAGATATGACATAAATAAATATATTGTTTCAGTTCTGATGTTTATTTCTCAACTCTTGCATCTATATGTATTTTCAGTCATTGAATGTGGCTTGTGCTTTAGAAAGCTAAAGAATATAATATCCAATTGAAATTATAAAGCATGCATGATCATGTGACTTTCTGTAGAAAATTGAAATTTTTCACTGACTTTCAGTACACATTTATTTGTTGTATTGAAGACACTTTATTAACAATAAGTATTATGATTATCTAATAATGAAAACTAATCTCTTTTGTTGTACTTTAATTTACTAAGTATAAATGACAGAGATTTAAACATTTATTGAAATAGCTGTCCTCAATTACTGTAATTAAGGTTAAAGTAAAGTACGGTTTCTCAATGCTTATGCAATTAAAAATATGGGTTATTTCAAAAAACTGAATTCCAAGCATCAAACAAATGTATAAACAGAAGAGATGACCTTTTAACAAAAAAATTCTCTCACGACACCATCAAGAAAATTTTTGAATATAATTCACACTGCTTTTTTCACTACAAATGGCCTGCATGAACAGCTAAGTAAGAACTAAATGTTAAATGAACTTAGAAAAAGGATCAGACCAAAATTAAATCCAATCATTTTGAGGTAAAGCATGAGTAGCATGTTCATGAAGAATTATGACAAATGGAACTTCCCCGAAGATTTTTTGTCAAATTTTTGTACACTGTTTAAATTAAACTGAAATCAGTACACTCTACGAGGCATGTATTTATAATTATTTACAATAGTAGTTTGGTTAATAATCCAACGAAATCTATTATTAAAATACACACTAATCAAATGGTTACGATACTGACAATGAGTCTTGTTTATCCATCGATAACGACCTAAATGAATACACTGGCTTATGGTTTCATACATAAAGCCTCCGACGGATGTGATCATCTAAAAATTGTCCCGAAAAAAAATGCCAATTCACTTTACAGTCGAAATATCATCAGTGAATCATTATGATTTATTATTTACTCTGAATGACTTCAGTTGAATTAGTGGACTAGGTAACAATGAAACTAAACATGATAAATTTATATTCCTTGTTAGTTGATTTGTAGAACAGATTTCAACTGATATTAGTCTATTCCATTTATTGTCTTTAAATATTATTTATGTTAACGAATTTAAACTCTTATGTACACGAGTTTATTACCACTACCACTACTATCACACTACATTGAAACGTTAACAGATGCTCCGAAATCTTAGAATTATATGTCTGTAAATAAAATATCACATTACAGTAAGCAGGATTGACAATACTGAAAGATACCTTTTAAAATATATATATATATATAATAAGTCAAGTCAAGAATTCACAAGAAGCGTTTTAGTTATATGTGAAAAATACTAATAAAACCAAAGATTTTTTTCACTTAAAGAAATACTAATATCAATTGCAACATAATTATATTATAAATGCCAATTTGTAATGTACCTGAGAGATTTACTGTCATCAATTTATGATCAGAGAAGAAGTGCTTCTTGAAATATTTGTATGATAATTATTTGCCGATCATGCAGTAAGCTAATTGACAATTGTAGTTGTGTCAACTGATAGAGTGTAGCTAGCAAATTGAAATGAGAACGAAATACACCACCAGTTATGGGAACTGTCACATGCAAACAAGCAGATATCCCACAATCACGTACAAAAAGAATACATAACTGTTGAGAAAGTTAAGAGAAATGAATTACCGCTATAAATGCTGAAAATAATCACACGTAATTACATAGAAACACTATTACACGCTATAAAGTCATTGACAATGTCGCAACTTATTGAATATTCTTAAATAGAATAATTGATACTCGAGAAGAAACAGAATTATCAGGAAATTAAGATAAAAAGAGTAAGCCGAACTGCCAATATCGAAAACTACAATATAGTATTTAAAACATTGAAGATTACTATTTCGAAAATTAGAACAACACAATCGGACAATATTGTTTTCAATTAGATTGTATTCATGCTTTACTCTAATATAAAAGAATATTTACATGGAAATGTGAAACCAATCAAGACAATTTATTTGAGTCAATGATCACAATGAAAAAGGTTATATAACTACATAAAATAGGTGAAAGTACAAGTTGATGGTAGAAAAACAGGCTTATTTGCAAGGTTAAAAAATAATAAAATGACACATGTAAATATTCATGCATAGTAGAGTAAAGCCTGATGACGATCTAAGTGAAAATAGTAGTGTTCGCTTTTACGTGTCGTTTTACTTTATATAATTGTTAATTATTCCGAATTCGGTCCATACATAACAATGTTTTGAATTATTCGTGTGATCGGTATGGTGAAGTGAAACAAATTAGCAAAACTATTATTTATAATGAACAGATATAGACTATACTACATATAAATAAAATATACATTCGAAAATGTGATCTTTGGTATAAAAATGTACAACGATAATAAAATACATTGTTCATTAAAAGGACAGCTCAGAATCATTCATACACAGTGAGTTGAATGATCGCTATATTAATTCTTTCTTGGTTGCTTTTTAATGTGAACGTTTTTCTAGTTATAGATGATTTATAAAAATCACATTACATTTTTACTATGTTTGCGTTAGTTTTATTTCTTGATAGCGTTTCATAGATCATTAAGGTAACTTGTTATTATCTGAAATAAAAGTTACTTGGATTTCATTCGGTTCGGTATAATCACGCTGTAGTAATCAGTTATATGATCTCCCTCTAATCTGATTATCGATTAGATCATTTAAATTGCCAGTAGGACATGTAACCTTCTATTTACCATTTGAGATATAAACCAAAGGGCAATCAAAATATCATCGCTTATTGGTTGCAAGCTGCTTCTAACTCAGTGGTCAGTCAGAGAATATAAAGATAGAAAACAAATCAGTTCTCTATTGTGTTCTATTCACGAATAACGTAAACTCATACTATAGTATACTTTAAATATCCACATAACTGATTACAATGTTGACATAATTTAGTAATGGGAAATCGGTATGTTTATGATAAATCAAGGACGACGAAACCTATAACTATGATTTATAAGAAAAATATAAAGAAATGATAATACAAGTATCTACTAATGACACAAAAAGTTTGAGTAATAACCGTTCTCATGATAGTCTTATGAGTTATAATCTTTTACAGAACTAGTCACATATTGGTAAAGTATGCTCAATATCATTTCTGTAGTATACACGACTGTTTGGTTATGTGAATAATCTGTCTTTAAAAGAAATATTATTTTCAAAAGATGAAATAAAATTCACACTCATGAATTAACAGACTGGAAAAACATAACTCTGCCTTCATCTACGAAATCGACTGATCATTTTGAGTAATGCTGCTTAATTCATCGCTCATATGATCTATGCGTTATGATAAGAATATTGTTCAGGTGCAAACCATACCCAAATACTGATGCCTAAACTTGATGTAACGTATAGAGTTGTTGCGTTTTCTGTGCTCGGATGTACATTCATAAAACTTCATTGTTTGTTTAGACAACATTATCAGCTCATACTTTAATGGAAATCTCAATATCAAACCATTTAAAATAAATCTACCTTCTGGACAAAAAATATCCTGCAATACGGTTTCTTAACTATTTATTCATATATTTGTGAAATTTCATGCAAACACATCATGAATCAAACCAAATTATTGAAAACAGCTATCAAACAGTCCTTTACTAAGCTGTCACCGACTTGGAATAACTTTTTTATGCATGTTATAATAGCAGTTACGGGTAACTAAAGGTGAACTTTTAACTTCTATTTTCTACTGAACACCATTAGAAACAAATCCACATCCTTCATCACTGGATGGGACAAAGGATATAATATATATATTGAGCAAATTCACACCTATCTAGACTTTCAACTAGAACTTTAGATAGCCAGATAAGTAATATGAATTGTGTTACATAAACTACTTAACTGTGTCAGTCAAATGATAAGGCTATTATCCTCCTCTTACCAACATGAAAACCAGGATAATATGATATAAAAATTAGGTAAAATGAGCCAAAAATATAAAGGAATGAGATCATCATAAGTGTTGCTCTGAAAAGTCAATATATCGACGGTGTTGAGATAGATATGAAAGTAAGTTTGTGGTACACACGTTTATACTGTAAGAGACGGCGGAAAACTTAGTTGATTTCAATTTTTCTACTTATTATTTGTAAGTAGCATAACGAAGAATTATTTCACAGAAGCCCAATAGGAGACTAGTAATTCTAGGTAGTTGAGAAAGTGCTATTACTGGACCATAGATTATGTTGTTCACTTCAACTCTCCGGATTCAACAAAAATCAACATTGGTTGTGCAATACAAATTTTTACAACCCAAAAATTTGATGGCTCAGATTCATTTTACGTACACTTCTACTCTATCAAATATAATATCCCGTGATAACTTATTGGTTACTTCTATAAAGAAACTATAGAAGTAAACGAACCTGTCCACTAATTTACTGTGAAATAGACTAGAAAGTAAGCAGAATGTGCACCTCTAAAGCATGAATACTAAAGCGGCACATTGCAGTTCCACATTTGGGGGCTGAAGCCGGATATTAGAAACAACAATAAAAGTCAAAATAAAAAGTTCTGTATTCACGATAACGCCAATCACACTCCTGAAGATGTCACAAATACATCGCCATATATTAAAAATAGTCGCCGATGAACAAGTTGCGATTATTCTGTTCATGCTCAACCGTAGCTGCTACCTTGACATGGTGGTCTAGCTAGCCTATCTTGATGACCCAAACGAGCTATATTGGCTGGAACATATGTTCCTGAAGGTTCTACCATGCCAGACAGGTCGATTGGAGGACGGTGAGACTAAAAGCAGCTACTCAAGGTCTGAGGGTGAAGTCGTATTGCTGAGTGCAGAGGGCTGTGACAGCAGTAAGGTGTTTCCCTCGGACAACCAGCATCTGCAGCGATGCTGCCTACTCATCACAATGAAGGAAGGGTTAGACAAGGTCGACCCTAAAAATGTCACACCTCAGCCTACCTTACGGATTTCCGTCTCCGGCGGTAATGCCTTATAAACAAGAGTGGAGCTAGCACTTTAAGAACTTCCAATAACAAAGGCCGCGCGTGAACAGCCTCAAGCAGTTATCCCTTGGGCTCTGCGATCACGCTCTCAGGTCTCTAAGACCGACACTAATCTGCCCTCCTTTTCAGGTTCCTCAAGAAGCACCCTTCCCCGGTGTGGGCAGCCGGGAAGTGACAACCACCCGTAACGGCACGCGAGACCGAATCGGTCATAGTCAAATCCTCTCTACACACCCTAACATCTGTCTTATTTCCACAATTAATTCTTCTCACCTACCTCTATCACCCCGTACCGCTAATGCGAACGATGCGAGTTCACGAAACGTTATTCTTGGTCTCTCTCCCAATCGATGTATGCTGCGTCTCGGCCTTATCAGCGCCCTGAGTTATTATTACGGTTGTCTCGTGATGGTCTGTCGCACGCCCAAAAAGACCAGATCTCCGACATATTGTCAGCAGTCGGTCGTGTTGGAAGGCAGTCGGCATACTACCTTATGCCGTCAGTAGTGTCAGAACTGGATGCCAACTGGCCAGGTTATACTGGTGCTGAAAGAAAACGGATCATTTCACTAAAGGTCAGCTACCGTAATCTTTAAGCTTTAATCTGTAAACAGTGTTGATTGTTATTTTTGACTCAATAAATAATAATCTGGTAAGTTGATTTTCTTCTGTCTCATGTTTGAAACCTAGCTCAGACTAAACAATTATTTTAAATTTAGATTAAATGAATTTCATATTGAACTTTCACCATTCGACCTGTTTTTTTCTATTCAGACTAGTCAGCAGTTTCAACCGTCTCCCAAATCTCCCGCTGACCGATCTCGAACCGCTTCTCCTGACGATCCGTCGACTCCCTCTGAAGACCAGTTTACTCGTCGTCCAACTAGAGCAAATGCTCCTTCGGCACCTCATGCACTAAGTAAGAAGATTGCTGCATTAGATATGTTATGTGCAGGAGTAAGCGATGTGGAAGTTGCCGCTCGTCTAGGAGTATTTCGTGGACTCTTGGATCAATGGCGAGCCAATGAACCAGAACTTCGTGAGGTGAGAAGATAACCATGTCTGCTCTGTAGATGTTTTTTTTCGAATCACTCAACGTTCATACTGTATTCCAGTTATTAAATATTCCGTGAAGATAGTCTTAATTTTAAGTATGACAGTATTCTGCCTTTGTATTATTAAGGTTGAGGAATTTCACTTTGTTATATGGCTTCTCTGATATTTACGTGATGCAGATGTGACCGTGTTTACTTTGTTTTCTTCAATTTTATCCATTTTCCAGCAACGTCTTGTAGATGACTAATTCTTTGTTCATGAAATAATGGCACAGGACATGCGATCACACTTTGTTTAGGTGAAGATACCTATATCTGAACTTACAGTTTCTGTAGTTGAATCTTTTAATTGTTATGGACAAGCATTTTACAATGCTACATAGAAAATGTCTAAAGTCCGAATGTCTAGTGGAAAATTGTGATACCCTGTGTTTCATATTATGATTCTATTTTGCTTGTTTTTTCATGGTTATTTTCTATCTCTAAGGATCCGGCGGCACGACAAGCTACTCTAATCCGATTATCCCAACAAACCCATTGAGTAAAATAGGAAGACTTGATATGAAGTAGAACCTGTATTCTACAAACACCCAGAAAGTACGAGGTCCGAGTTCAGAAGAGAATCAGTATCTCGGACTAGGAATCGGATTAGAGTAGCTTGTCGTGTCTCCATTTCCTCGATCCTCGCTCTCGTTTTTCGACTAAGGTAAACTCATAATAGTTCAAGCACATCAAATGACGTGTTTACGTTCATGCATAACAATTTCGCCCTGTCAAAATAAAGGAGCGGCTCGATTTACTCTTCGTGTATCCGGTGGCCCTGATGTTGTTTCCCTGGGTCTCGCTGGTGTAGGTATAGCATCGAGTCGTAGGGCAGAACTATCTCTCCTAAACTAGATCCCAGTAGATAGTCACTTGTGCGCTGTCCGACTAAACAGGACAGTAAGGACTCGGAAAGATAGGGACACTCGCCGTTACCTCTTCGTCGTACCTGCCTACGCTCCCACTGACTGAAGTTCAGACGAGGTGAAAGATGAGTTTTACAGAAAGCTTTTGGACCTCCTCCAAAAAACTAGACGCTCTGATATAGTAATAATGGCTGGTGACTTTAATGCTGAAGTAGGTAGACTAAGTGAGAAGGAAAGACACCTGAGTGGATGTTATGGTGTCGCGTCTCGGAGAACAGATAATGGCGACCGTGTGTCACAACTGTGCTCAGATAACAGCCTATTTCTAGCAAACACTAACTTTAAGCATAAGGAAAAGCATCTTTTGACACGGTGACCCCCAAAGTCTTCACACCGCAAAGAGACCTCTTAGGGTTCTGCCTAATGATAGAGTAGCTAGAGTATATTTCAGGAGCAACTAGAAAGGCAGTTAGGCGACCATGTAAGCGATTCCCATCCGGAGGCAGGTTGGAATGATATCAAAACGACTGTGGAAACAGCAGTGATATCTGCCAGTAGGGTGAATCATCAGGCTAAAAAGAAGCCGTGGATCTCAGTAGCATCCACCACGCTGATAGACACTGGTAAACTTATCCCTCCTTGCTCTGGCCATGACGAAGAGTGAAGTCAGCTTAAGCAGAGGCTGATGAAAAGCCTACCCTAAGATCGCGAACAGTGGTTGGTAGTGAAAGCAAGAGCGATGAAAGAGGCAGCGATGATAATTAACAGTAGACAACTGTTTATATTTATCACGGGAACTGGTACTAGGAATCCATATGTTAGCGAGACTTATTACAGAAAAAGATTGGTACTATAATTCACTTTGAGCCCAGGAGATTGGACCGATGGGAAGAACATTACAAGTATCAATTCAACTGACCTTCAGCCACACTTGGTTGCTCACGATCTCCAGTCATCCTGAATGGCAAGTGGACGTAAGCCCACGGAATGTTTATGAAGTTGAAAAAGCTATAGGAAATCTGAAGCCAAGGAGAGCAGCAAGGCTTGATATACTTGCCCCTGAAATTTTCAGGGATGGTGGTCCAGTTTTAGCAGTTAGATTGATGGAGCTATTAGATAGAATCTGCAAACTGGGCGTAATACCATCTGCCCGATCTCAATCACTGATTGTCCCGGTCTATAAGAAAGGACAAAAGTCTTCTTGTGACAATCACAGGGAAATGAATCTAACTAATATAGTATCTAAAATATTGTGCTCAATAGTACTCCGACGCCTAATGAAAGCTCGTGAAGAGCAGACTAGAGAAAACCAAGCTGGTTTTTGACTTGGACATGGCTGTATAGACCACATTTTCACACTACATCAGGTCCTAGAACAAAGACAAACGTTCAGACTCCCCACAACAGTAGTATTTCTCGACCTTAAAGTAGCATTCGACTCTGTTGCTCGTGAGGTTCTGTAGCAGTGTCTGTTAATAAAAGGTGTACCAAAGAAGTACATTAACCTTATACAGGCTCTCTAATCGAACACCACTGGTCGAGTAAGAGCTTATGGCGAACTGTCGTCGTAATTAGTTACTGCAAGTGGTGTCCGTCAGGGCTGTCCACTCTCCCTATTCTTGTCGAAGATATACTTTTAGAGTTAACATTATCTTCGACTGACTTTTCAGGAGTGGACCTTTTACCAGGAGATACGCTTGCTGTCTTAGAATATGCTGACGACGTAGTCCTATTCGATGAAGACTCTGACAAAATGCAGAGTCTTCTGACTACTCTGAGCAGCAATGCATGCATGTTCGGGATGAGGTTTTCCCTCTCGAAATGCAAAATGTTGCTTCGAGAATGGGTTGCATCGGCACCTGAACTAGTAATAGGGAGTGACGTAGCTGAGTGCGTTTCATCAGTGCTGATGGCCTGTTGACTAATGAAATATCAGCACGGATGCAGAAGGTTCGATTGACTTTTCCCAATTTACGTCATTTATGAAGTAGGCGAGATACCCGTTAGCTAACCAAAGGTTGAGTGCACTGAGCAGTATTTCGCCCCGTTCTACTATACGGATGAGAAACATGGCCCGTCATTATAGACGATCTTCGTAGGTTACTTTTTTTAAATCGTAGATATCTTTGAAGCATTTCTCGTGTATCGTGGAGCGACTGAGTAAGCAATGCTGCCATTAGGAAACCTATTTTAGGTAGAGATGGCATGGCAATATATGAATTAATGAAATTTCATCAGTTGATGTGGTTAGGACATGTGTTACGGATGCCCAACCACCCCCAGTCCCGGCTGACTAGATTAAGATGTCTTTATAAGACGTAGAGAGTATTCTAAAAGCAGCCAGAAAATATGAGCAGTCTTGTAACGTCAGCCTTTGGTTAGTTTGCGTCTAAACCGAAGGTACCTTGTATGCTGGGGGGGATGTGAGGAGCGGTGTATGAGATTACCTGGAAGAAGAAAGAACAAGAGAAAAAGATGAGCCGACGACTCAGTAAGCACATAGAATGCCCTTACATACAATATACGAATAAAGACAGCGTGAGATTACGACAAACTGATAAACGAAACTAAGAGATAATAGGGTTCGGTTTCGAATGCTTTACAGTCTAAGCACACAAATAAAGCTTATTTATACAATCTTAGAATGCCCTTGGGAGAGCCACAAAGTAGCGTACTAAAACAATCCATCAATCAATGACAGTCAAGGATTTTCCGAGTGGAAAATGTGAGCTCACGCACGAAAACATGACACAAATCCAAAATAAGTACCCTTCCCAACTGAGTCCTGGGGATCTAACGTCTGCAACCAGATTCGTTACGCAAACCCTTGCAACAGCCTTACGGATGATCTATTCGCGTGATTTCTCGTCACAAAAATACCCTCAACGTTGATCGGCACGGTCAGTATTGATCAATTCAATCCAGCACATGTCGATGACAGTGCCCTATCCGATAAGTCGAAATTCAATACTAGACCAGTCCAACTGACTTTGATTCATGGAGGGATTACTATCAGTGACGGGAATGTAACTGGTCTGTAGTGATCAGCACAGCCAATGCCAGTTATTTCCATAACTAATTGTAGTTATGCCATAACTAACCAATCAAATTGTACTTCAAGCGTTCAACAAATGATCTGATCTGACGTGCCCGTAAACTATCTTTGTTGTAAATGACCTACTAATTGAATGACATTATTATCTTATTATCATTGATGTGACTCATAGTTTTATTCATTTTCATAAGACACGCTATTTTGGTCGGTATGTTTGTTCGTTTCACTTGGTAACTGTAATTTCCTTATTTATTGTACTAATCTAATTGTTTTTATGTTAAGAAACACATAAAGTTTAAAACCAAATTGGTCTTGTGCTTGACTAAAGCTTTCCTACAGACTTTGTGCTCGCCAATATTGCGCTTACAGTTCTAGAAGTACGTCCCTAGGACAAATTAAATCCTACAGTCAACCACTACAACCTTAAAGTAAACATTTTATTTTATCACGCTGAGCATCCTCTTTCCAATTATGGTTTCAATCAACTGTATAATAATTATAAACCTACACAAATAAGGAATGGAGATGGAATGTTTGTTTAAATGGTAGGCGAGTGATCTCAAGTTGTTGGTGGTCTGAAGTGAGCGAGTGATAGAATGACTTCACTATGTTGAGTGAAATTAATGAGGTAGGCATCGACGTCTAAGATCTACAGAACTATTTTTTATGGATTTTTTCACCACTACAAAGGCTTTACCTTTGCTCCAGCCAGGAATAAGACTTCTTAAATGCTTGTTTGGTGTAAAATTTTATTTATTTCATACCACTAGTCATCAAATTTTATTTACTACACAGCTGATCCGGAGATTGAATCTAGAATTTAATGCTAATTAGTTCACTACTGGACACCGAGTGGCTAAAGGGATACCACGTGCAGACTATTTATCACATTTTCATATTCTGAACGGCTAACTGATAAAAATAATTGTAAGGTCATTGAACCATTGCTTGTTAACAGTTAGGAACTTGTGAAGGATTGTAGTAAATATTCCAAACTATTGTAAACGTGAAAAAAGTTCGAAATAGTCTGTGCAACCGTACGTTGCCTGAGTTTTAAAAAAATAGAGAGAGTCTGGAACTACATCTTGAATCGTTTGCTGTTCTGATAACAACGTAATCGCTCGTTAAAAACTGAAATCTGTACGAGTAAACAACCTTCACTCCGCTAGAACGATGCTGATACAAGTCAAAAGTTAAAAAAAACTGTCAAGAAACTGCATTACAATCAACGTAAGAGGAATCGTAAGCCCGAATTCTATTTATCGCGGTGACGTATGTTACGTCCAGTTTTTTGCTCTTTGATCCTTTGAAGCACTGTTGTCGATCTATTTGCAATTCGCGATCCCAAATATTAAATAAGAACGAAACTCCAAAGTAGATACCAAAGTTTATTGCCAATTTACAATGATCGACCAAAATGTGTTATTACAAATAGACGACCAATGTCGTTCTAACAACAATAATTATAATAATTACAATTACCTTCTATTTCATGGATCCTTGGAGCAAAAAAACTGCAAACGAACAACCAAGAGAAACGGGAGTCCTAAATGGCCGAAAATAATAATTCAAACAAGTTCATAAGTTAAGTAAAACAAATGTACCAAAAAACACAGTGAAATTAATGATATTTATATATAAAGGTTTGATCTGCAAAATGTCTTCGTTTCTCCCGTAACAACGTATGCATGCCTATCACTGTTAACCGTTTTTAAACCCATAGTATGTTTTAATTATACTTCATTCATGGTCTGAGTGGCCCCAAGTGGTGCTAGGCAGCAGCTGATGCAGAAACGTCATCCAAAGATAAATAGTGTAGGCACTTAGTTGTGAAGTGAAACCCAGTGCACAGTAATTGATAATGGAATTCAGTTCAACGATTTTAACAGATACCTTCATGATAATAAATGCCGTCTTTTACATACAGCTCCAAAACATCCTCAGCACAATGTATTAGCAGAAAATATCGTTCAAATTTTATAGGGCTCCATCATTCAAGTTAATTCATGTGGTCTTAACGAGCCAGAAAAATGAGCCGATCGTTTCTCACTTCTCTTTCATAGCGTGGATGAGTCGAGAAAACGTGCATGCTTTGAACTTGATTATTGAACAACTTAACATCGGAAGTACAGTTTTTCCGAGTTACTAATTACCCACCATCTTTTGGAATTATGAGTACTCGAAAGGGAAGGATTCGTGACGTGAGTGACCATTCAGTTGACAGCAGATATGAAGACCAAAAGAAACCTAATTCATGTATCCAAGTCATTCATTATTTGTTTTTTTCATTGCTTATTATTTTACTATTTCTTTCCTGTCCTCCAGTTCCAACTATACAACACTTAAGACTATTGTTCATCAGTCCTAAAATATACAAACTTAATGAAACATCTAAATTAAGTAGGGATGGCTGTAGACTTCAGAAATCGTGAGGACCTAACTGAGTCCCCTTAGGCTTGGGACAGCATGAAGAACGATATCTCTAGTCACTTAAATTGTTGCGAGAGCCAACTTAGATCTGTGGGACAACAGAAAGGGAGCGAAAATACCAACAATGTCAGTTGAACTCGATCGACAACACGCGGTACAAGACATGAGGATAATAGTCTTGCTACTTGAATGCATTATACACAGACAAAAAACCTACAGAGGTCAGTCCCTACAAAAACGGTCAACTCTGTTTGAACAGCTTGTTTAAGAATCCGACGACAGCTGTTGTTACAGAGGTGTATCAGGTGAAGAAACAAACCACGAATTACCTCTGTAGCAACGAAAGAGGGTTCAGGGGTAAGCTGTTAGAAATCAGGAAATTATGCTCTCAGATGGATCTGAAGATCATAATCCTAACTGAAACATGGATATCTCTCGACATTGCAGGCGACGGAGTGAGCTTGCAAGGCATGATGCTCTTCCGATGCGACAGGGTACACCAAACAGGAGGCGGAGTGGCTATCTATATCAATAGCCATTTGTAAGGCCAGAGGCTACACAACACCCAAATAACCGAGGTGACAGAATCATGTTGGTATTGTTTCCAGACAAATGGCACGAAATACTTGATTGTACGGATTTGCTGGTCCCCTCCCCATGTACAACGGCCCAGAAAGATAAACTGACAGACGTAGTTCTGCAACTGCCACTCTTTGGGTTTGATCGAATACCCTTAGCCAGAAATTTCAACACCCCATCTCTAAATCTCATCAAACGGATTGGCTTTCTCACTGGTTGGTTCGAAAGACGACCTGGCGCAGCCACTAGATGTACAAGGGAAGGAAAATGCTTAAGCTTCCATTTTTAACTAACGATTAGCTTCTGGTCGAGGATGTTCATGTCTATACACCAAAAGGAAGTAGTGACCATGGCTCAGTCTTGTTTAACATGGTCATAAACGAAACATTCAGGCAGAAGTGAAACGAGCCCTAACTTCGCTACACTAGGGTGAATCACGCGCGTATGAGAGAGAAACTTCTACATGCCCCATGGCCAAGGGAATGGCGGAGGTTGACTGCAGACTGTCACTGGAAAACAGTGAAAGACATCATTCAGAATGATGCCCTAAAAATGTACCTCATGCACACCACACCCGATGACAGACGAATACGGGTTAGGCCCGGCAGTGAACTCCTGCTGCAGGCGAAGGGAAACGCCTGGTACAAGTGGGACGTCTTTTCGAAGGATTCTGATCGTAGTTCTTACTTGGCATTTAGAAACAGATGCACTGTCAAAGTTCGAGGTGATAGGACACGCTTGCAGATGAAGCTAGCTGTGTATATACAGGCAAACTCTAAGTATCTGCCCATGGGTAAAATAAAACCTACGAACTAGGGCGCTTTTGCTCTCTATGGTCCGAATGGCAAAGCTCTTACCAGCCTAGAGATCGTCATAAAACTGAACATCAAAGAGCGAGCACTCAGGTTCGAGCATATTTCCTCTCATTGAGAGTCGTCACAGTTTGAGGTGCTCTCCCAGCCGAGATGACGATAGCCCGCCTCACTGGACAGCTTTAAGAAGAGACTTGAGAAGCACGTACTGACATACGGATTATCATCTCGCTCGTGGACAAGCTGTACCTGATGCCTATCTTAGGAACTGCTAGTTGTTATTATTGCCATCTCTTCAGATCACTAACTTAATCTATCACGCTTATTATCTCTGTTTCTTCTCCTTGCTTACACTTCAGTCCTCTCGCACAATCATCATTACCAATTATTAAACTAAATTATTCATTGATTTACCCAATTCTGAAATATTCTCCTTATTAGTATCATAACTTTCTCATTATTATTTTTCGTATTGCAGCTAACTGGTCCCCGGCCCGGTAACGTGATGGCTGCCGATATCCAGAAACCCTAGTGCTCAGAAACAAACGTACTGATTTAAATCACGAGACAAAGCAGCTCACAAGCAACTGCTGAGCCAGTGGAATTAATACAGTTGAGTGTCTGGACCCTCATCCGTTGGACACAACCAAATACCTGGAACTGTACTGAAAGAACAGGAATCAAAGTCAGTAATATCAAATGATTTATACTGGCTCGTAAAAAAGATATGGGATATTGGAACCGTTAGCCCAAATCATGATTCGCACAAATAAACTGATTTATACTAGATTATGGTAAGACAGGTAAAATTCTTCGCTGAAAATGTACAAATTTTGACCATTTTGTCTTTTCTCTCTACCAAAAATAGGACTTTCAGAACTTGTGTTTAAGTTGTTCAACAACTAGAGTTTTTTCAACCTGAAGGCGCAAGCGGGTTGCAGCTGGTTCCGTCAACCGCAGTGCCTGATCCTGATGACTCTCCGTTTTTCTAAGGATTCTAGTTTTGTGTTCGATGATGCCTCATACAATGACTTGGAACTTGTTCACTTTCGTCTTACGGATTCTGCCCTGAAAGATATTGAAAATTTGGCTAACACTACAGTAAGTTTTCATCCAAGTGTTATGATTAACTGTTAAAGGGAAACCACACATTTAGCATTACGTTCAGTGGGACCGAAGGAGTAATTTTCTGTTGTATAATTATTTCACTCCTGTAGTCATTTTTTGTTCCCATTGGGAAGAACAGCAGCAGGTTTACATTTAATACCTCAAGCTTAACGAGTCCTCATGATGATTCCTTTAATTGTTTGCGTATTAAAGGGTAAGGAATTCTCCTTATGTGACCTAATATTTGCTTAAGAGTTTCAACTCAGTGTCTCGGAAGGATGGTTTCCAGGATCACTGTCAATGCTAAAGAGGATAGCTTCTCAGCAGCTAAGGAGCGACTGACTCAATTAGAAGACGAAAATAAAAAGTCTCAAACTAAAGAAATTAAATCGAATAAATATGTGGCCTCAAGAACAGCAATATCACAGTCTTCTCACAAACAAAGCAATCGGTGTGTAAATTTAAAAGGAAAAGGAAATGAAACTACACCCCAGAATTTAGACTCCGCGATCGCACCTAATCGAGGTCAGTCACAAAATCCTGTTGGTTGTGGTCCCAGTCCGCCTCTGTCTAATCCAGATGTTTTGGCACGCTCCCTGAGGTGTGTTTGTTTCTTCACTGTACTTACTTGCTCAAAGATAAATGTAGTCCCGGTTTGTTGTCATTCTAATTTATCCTTGACAATTTTTTAAAAGTTCTGCTTAGGATCTGTTGTCTTCGTTTTCAATCAGTTTATCAAAACACTGTTTATCAGCACTTCATTAGGTAATGCATCCAGTGCATACACTGTTAGCAAATGACTCTGTCTTTTCTCAGTGATATCTCAAGTAATCACGATTCACTTGTTTAAATCCTAATTAACCATTTATATGAATGGATTAATGAGTGTATGCAGCGTAGAACTTCGAACGTACGTACATCAGTTCAGGTTGCCATACCACGTTGGCACAGATGCAAGTGTCACTTCAAATCGTATAGTTGTAGAGGTAGTAAAGGTATAATAAGTAGTCGGAAATTTTAGGGTTCAACGATATTATGCAAGTAGAATCTAGTGAAATAAAAGGAACTCTCAAGGTTAATATTTGAGAGAACATAGAATAAATGCACCTGCGCTATTGCAAACGGTTTTGAGCCATATCATTCAGGGTCTAGCCACCGATTACTATCATCTCGCGGGCCCTAACCAGGTAGTCGACACCTACAAACATGATTCAGTCCACTTGTCAGTAACTTCATGGATTTCCGCTATGCTTTGGTCTTGCCGCCCCTAACTTTCTTCCAACCTATTCCTACATCGCAAATCGTAGCTCAAGGAGGCAGTCGGTCGTTAGGCATACGTAAAACATGTCCCAACCACTTCAACTGATGAATTTTCGACTTCATTTATTGACCTGCCAGCCTTACTTGGGACCCGTTTCCTAATATATATATATATATATATATATATATATATATATATATATATATATAGTAGACTAGGCAAGCAGATCCTAGTTATAGCAAATCAACCAATTAACCTGTAGATTTTGTATTTGGAAGATTTTTCATGGCATTTTTTGTAGGTTTTATTCTCATTCTTCTTACTGGATCATAGTTCCCTATTGAGACCATGCACTTGTGTACAACATATTCGAGTAAATGTAATAATCTCCTTATTACAATGTACGAGTTTAACTGCAATGAAAAGCTACTATAATTACCATGTTTTCTTGCAACTAATTTGAGTATATCCTTTTTACTGTGATGTGTTCTACATACATGGGTTCTAGAGTCTTCATTGTATCACCCTTTTTCAATTTTCTTTATACCTGCGCTCAGTAATAACAGTTAATCCACGGTGCTTGGTACACGCTTCAATAATCGTGGCGTATTCAAGAGTGCTGTATATATTTAATTTCGATGTAAATATGGTTTTTGTTCCTAACACTGTATCTCTAATACACTAATCAGATTTTTAATTCTCACCCGTCTGGTCAAGAACTGCATAAATAAGTGACTAATTTGACCTTGTATATGGAATTTACTGCGAATGCAAGGATGATCTGTTTAGTGATTGTACAGTCTGATCCGCCTAATATCTTTCTACGTGGTGTCCGGTGTATCACTTCCTTTTCTTGTCATGACGCATTATTGCTGATAGCAGTTTAAAAGATGTTTTCGTAGAGAGTATGTACATGTTAAGGTTAGTCATATTTGCATTTTGAAATCCAGATTGTTCTTTAATACCATATTATTTATAGATGATTGTTTTCAATATTCATTTTAGAGAACGCATTATTCATATACTGGCATTACGGCCTTATCAGCGCCCTGAGTTATTATTACGGTTGTCTCGTGATGGTCTGTCGCACGCCCAAAAAGACCAGATCTCCGACATATTGTCAGCAGTCGGTCGTGTTGGAAGGCAGTCGGCATACTACCTTATGCCGTCAGTAGTGTCAGAACTGGATGCCAACTGGCCAGGTTATACTGGTGCTGAAAGAAAACGGATCATTTCACTAAAGGTCAGCTACCGTAATCTTTAAGCTTTAATCTGTAAACAGTGTTGATTGTTATTTTTGACTCAATAAATAATAATCTGGTAAGTTGATTTTCTTCTGTCTCATGTTTGAAACCTAGCTCAGACTAAACAATTATTTTAAATTTAGATTAAATGAATTTCATATTGAACTTTCACCATTTGACCTGTTTTTTTTCTATTCAGACTAGTCAGCAGTTTCAACCGTCTCCCAAATCTCCCGCTGACCGATCTCGAACCGCTTCTCCTGACGATCCGTCGACTCCCTCTGAAGACCAGTTTACTCGTCGTCCAACTAGAGCAAATGCTCCTTCGGCACCTCATGCACTAAGTAAGAAGATTGCTGCATTAGATATGTTATGTGCAGGAGTAAGCGATGTGGAAGTTGCCGCTCGTCTAGGAGTATTTCGTGGACTCTTGGATCAATGGCGAGCCAATGAACCAGAACTTCGTGAGGTGAGAAGATAACCATGTCTGCTCTGTAGATGTTTTTTTTCGAATCACTCAACGTTCATACTGTATTCCAGTTATTAAATATTCCGTGAAGATAGTCTTAATTTTAAGTATGACAGTATTCTGCCTTTGTATTATTAAGGTTGAGGAATTTCACTTTGTTATATGGCTTCTCTGATATTTACGTGATGCAGATGTGACCGTGTTTACTTTGTTTTCTTCAATTTTATCCATTTTCCAGCAACGTCTTGTAGATGACTAATTCTTTGTTCATGAAATAATGGCACAGGACACGCGATCACACTTTGTTTAGGTGAAGATACCTATATCTGAACTTACAGTTTCTGTAGTTGAATCTTTTAATTGTTATGGACAAGCATTTTACAATGCTACATAGAAAATGTCTAAAGTCCGAATGTCTAGTGGAAAATTGTGATACCCTGTGTTTCATATTATGATTCTATTTTGCTTGTTTTTTCATGGTTATTTTCTATCTCTAAGGATCCGGCGGCACGACAAGCTACTCTAATCCGATTATCCCAACAAACCCATTGAGTAAAATAGGAAGACTTGATATGAAGTAGAACCTGTATTCTACAAACACCCAGAAAGTACGAGGTCCGAGTTCAGAAGAGAATCAGTATCTCGGACTAGGAATCGGATTAGAGTAGCTTGTCGTGTCTCCATTTCCTCGATCCTCGCTCTCGTTTTTCGACTAAGGTAAACTCATAATAGTTCAAGCACATCAAATGACGTGTTTACGTTCATGCGTAACAATTTCGCCCTGTCAAAATAAAGGAGCGGCTCGATTTACTCTTCGTGTATCCGGTGGCCCTGATGTTGTTTCCCTGGGTCTCGCTGGTGTAGGTATAGCATCGAGTCGTAGGGCAGAACTATCTCTCCTAAACTAGATCCCAGTAGATAGTCACTTGTGCGCTGTCCGACTAAACAGGACAGTAAGGACTCGGAAAGATAGGGACACTCGCCGTTACCTCTTCGTCGTACCTGCCTACGCTCCCACTGACTGAAGTTCAGACGAGGTGAAAGATGAGTTTTACAGAAAGCTTTTGGACCTCCTCCAAAAAACTAGACGCTCTGATATAGTAATAATGGCTGGTGACTTTAATGCTGAAGTAGGTAGACTAAGTGAGAAGGAAAGACACCTGAGTGGATGTTATGGTGTCGCGTCTCGGAGAACAGATAATGGCGACCGTGTGTCACAACTGTGCTCAGATAACAGCCTATTTCTAGCAAACACTAACTTTAAGCATAAGGAAAAGCATCTTTTGACACGGTGACCCCCAAAGTCTTCACACCGCAAAGAGACCTCTTAGGGTTCTGCCTAATGATAGAGTAGCTAGGAGTATATTTCAGGAGCAACTAGAAAGGCAGTTAGGCGACCATGTAAGCGATTCCCATCCGGAGGCAGGTTGGAATGATATCAAAACGACTGTGGAAACAGCAGTGATATCTGCCAGTAGGGTGAATCATCAGGCTAAAAAGAAGCCGTGGATCTCAGTAGCATCCACCACGCTGATAGACACTGGTAAACTTATCCCTCCTTGCTCTGGCCATGACGAAGAGTGAAGTCAGCTTAAGCAGAGGCTGATGAAAAGCCTACCCTAAGATCGCGAACAGTGGTTGGTAGTGAAAGCAAGAGCGATGAAAGAGGCAGCGATGATAATTAACAGTAGACAACTGTTTATATTTATCACGGGAACTGGTACTAGGAATCCATATGTTAGCGAGACTTATTACAGAAAAAGATTGGTACTATAATTCACTTTGAGCCCAGGAGATTGGACCGATGGGAAGAACATTACAAGTATCAATTCAACTGACCTTCAGCCACACTTGGTTGCTCACGATCTCCAGTCATCCTGAATGGCAAGTGGACGTAAGCCCACGGAATGTTTATGAAGTTGAAAAAGCTATAGGAAATCTGAAGCCAAGGAGAGCAGCAAGGCTTGATATACTTGCCCCTGAAATTTTCAGGGATGGTGGTCCAGTTTTAGCAGTTAGATTGATGGAGCTATTAGATAGAATCTGCAAACTGGGCGTAATACCATCTGCCCGATCTCAATCACTGATTGTCCCGGTCTATAAGAAAGGACAAAAGTCTTCTTGTGACAATCACAGGGAAATGAATCTAACTAATATAGTATCTAAAATATTGTGCTCAATAGTACTCCGACGCCTAATGAAAGCTCGTGAAGAGCAGACTAGAGAAAACCAAGCTGGTTTTTGACTTGGACATGGCTGTATAGACCACATTTTCACACTACATCAGGTCCTAGAACAAAGACAAACGTTCAGACTCCCCACAACAGTAGTATTTCTCGACCTTAAAGTAGCATTCGACTCTGTTGCTCGTGAGGTTCTGTAGCAGTGTCTGTTAATAAAAGGTGTACCAAAGAAGTACATTAACCTTATACAGGCTCTCTAATCGAACACCACTGGTCGAGTAAGAGCTTATGGCGAACTGTCGTCGTAATTAGTTACTGCAAGTGGTGTCCGTCAGGGCTGTCCACTCTCCCTATTCTTGTCGAAGATATACTTTTAGAGTTAACATTATCTTCGACTGACTTTTCAGGAGTGGACCTTTTACCAGGAGATACGCTTGCTGTCTTAGAATATGCTGACGACGTAGTCCTATTCGATGAAGACTCTGACAAAATGCAGAGTCTTCTGACTACTCTGAGCAGCAATGCATGCATGTTCGGGATGAGGTTTTCCCTCTCGAAATGCAAAATGTTGCTTCGAGAATGGGTTGCATCGGCACCTGAACTAGTAATAGGGAGTGACGTAGCTGAGTGCGTTTCATCAGTGCTGATGGCCTGTTGACTAATGAAATATCAGCACGGATGCA